ATAAATGTGCATTATTTTATCAGAATCACCTGAAGAACTGAAACTGCTGCAGAGACGGTTTTCTATTTTCATCGGACTGATTGTATGAAGAGGTTCGCTGAGGCCTTGCAGGTGTTCAGTACGTCAGAGGAAGAACTTTTCTGCTCCTTAAACTCATTTTTGGAGCAAAGCAGGACAGGTTTGACGTCAGCTTTCAGTACGTGACAAAAACCAGAAGAAAAAAACATGTCGGACAGTTTCATCACTCAGGGCAGAAGTGAAGGAACAAAGATTTCTGTTCCAAGAGGATTCTATACCACAAAAACATTTTTTGTATTTTGTATTTCATTGATTGCAGCAATAAACAAGCTCCTATTTCTTACTGAAAAGTTGCTTGTAAATTAGTTTAGTAAGATATATTTCTAACATCTGTAAACAGAAAATATGGGAATCGAGAAAAATCTAAAGACAACAGAGGAAGAAATAAATACGGAAAATGAAAAAGAAATTATCAAAATAATAAATCAAGATTTTGGAAGACAGTTTTGGGGAAAACATGCAACACTTTTGAAGTGCCATCCAACCCAAATTTACGTCTGCTGAGTTTTAAAAATAAAATTAAAAAAAAAAAAACATAAGACAAACACAGCTGCTGCTGCTGCTGCTGCTGCTGCTGGGTCCCCTGACACAATCCAACAGCTGCTGAGTGATACACACAAAAAACCAGGGGAACAATGTGTCCCGTTAACCTTCGCCTCGGAGGGGAGACACACCACATCAGCTACAACACACACTGAGACACACACACAGGCTGTACACACACACACACACACACACACACACACACACAGCCTCTTTTCACACCACAAACCTGAGCCAGCAGCCACAGCACCCAGCATGTCAGTCTGTCTTCTTTAAATGAGAAACATTCACATCACAATCAGATCTCATGCTGGTTCCGTCTCCAGATAAATTATTCTGTTTGTACTCTAAAGAATCATCTTCAGCTAAATAAAGGAGAAAACTAAAGAATCATCACGATAACCTCACAGACGACACGCTCACACTTTTCTGGTACAGATAGAAACAATCGCTGCACTAACGACTCCAAAAAACGACTGTCAGAAATATATCAACGGCTGTTAGAGACGTCACCCTCATGAAGTCATAACATTAGGAGAATATAGTCATAACATTAACAGAATAAAGACACAAAATGATGAGAAGAAAACAGTAATTAATGTCTGACCAGCTCGGTGGCTCTGCGGCTGTTTGTACAATAATTACGATGTGTGGAAATATAAAATATGTCCCTATTTATAAAACTGATACTAGTTTTATAACATCACACAATGCTCAACGTTCCTCATTTTATCGCTGCAGTACGTTTCACCTAGCAGTTAAATTGCTACTTTGCTTCATTCTGTTACAACTTAATTCTCAGTTAAAAAACAAAATGAACTTTGTTTGGTTTTAATGTTTCAAATGAATAAATTTTGAAAAAGCAACCAGATTGATTTGCTGAGACGATCACCTCAGAGCTATTTCACTCTGTCGAAGCTTTTTTCTAACTGATGCCACTTTTGTCCTGCTACTTTTACAAATTACTCTCTTAAGTTAAAACTGTTTTACTCTGGCTCTAATACTCTGCTGTACAAATCTCCATTGCATTGCAAAGTGCCACAGTAACGGATTCTCACAGCTGAACCTGCTGATGGGACCCAACTTGCCGGCGGCCTTGGACAGGAAGCATCAGAACGACGGGTGAAGAACAGAGAATCGTGGGAAATTTCATATTGTCATTACAGCTTCTTGCAAAGGCTACTGTTTTGATAAAGTTATTTTTCAGTTACATAACAGGATTTTCTTTTGAACTATACACAGAAACTCAACGGTTTGTATGCCTCGTTTGAATCATGATCAGTTGTAATTCAAAGTGTTTTCATAATGTAATAATACTTGTATTGATTTTCTGTTTAGCCTGTCTGGTTTAATGAAAGTTTGCATGTGGTCCCTGTTCATGTCCGGGTCTCTCTGGGTTCTCTGCTTCCTCCCACAGACAATAACATGACTGAGCTGGTCTATTAGTTTCTAGGTGTTTGACCTGTTCAGGGTCTCGCCTTGAACTGTTGCAATCAACAATAAATTAATTAAAGGCACTAAAATGAAAACAAACTCAATAATTTCCATTTGCATGATTTATTGTTTTTCCTCTTTCTACTAAAAACTGGATGGAAAGTTTTCAGTCTTTTTTGTTTCATAACTAATTTTATTTATTGTTTCTGTTGCTTTGTTTGTTTATTTTAGATATTTTTAATGTCTTCCAGTTCCAGTGTTTAAATGTTCATTAGAATTAAAATTTATTGATCTCTGAGAATTTGTTTTTATTATGCCACTGCCATTACATTTCTTGAAAGTGGTCTCAAAACAACAATATTATTGTTTATTAAATATTTCTGGGACAATTTACTGCCCAGCAGGACTAATTATTGTGACAGGTGTATTATAAACAGTGGATGGATGTTTGGAATCATTTAAATACATATATTATCTATTGAATATTTAATAGAATAAAATCAAATTGATATTTTCTGGACATTAAAACACGCAGGCCTGGCTTTAACCAATCAAACGTCTCTAAACGCTAAACAGGAAACCAGGATGAAGACAGACAGCTTATCTCCATGCAGGAGATTTAAATAAAATATTAAAACATTCAAGTGTTTTTCTGCCTTATCAGGAGGTAACTGGGAGAAGCTTTACAAACATCTAAGCCTCAAAGTAAGTCCAACTCCAGCCTTTGAAAACTTCTGCAATAATCAGATGCATCATCCGCCATGTTTGTTTTAAAACAGTAGAGGAAGGTTGTCAGGAGCAAATAAAAAACCCACCAGAAGGATGGAGACAGGACATATGGAGACAGCTCAGCAGGAGTCCGAGTCATTATTCCAAAACGTTTCTGGCTTGAATACAAACTGAGTTTCAGAAGAATAACGTTCCAATTTAACCGTACAAAGAGCTTAAAATATCTACTAGCTTTGAATGTTTTCCCTGGATTTCCAGAGAAATGCTTGGTAAATAATAAGCAAATCATTATTTTCCTCTCCTCCTAATGCTGTGATGCTGTCTTGAATAACCAAAACAAGCCTTTTGAGAGGGGAGAGGTTATTAAAATAGAATATCTGGCAGTATGCTGGAGCCACAAAAGTCTCTGCATCCCGTTTAGAGCTTCCAGTCGCTCCCAGTGTGAGCTGATAGCTGTCACTGCCTATTTAATAAAACAATCATTCATAAAGCAGCATGACTGTGCAGCCCTGCATTAATACAACACAATCAGCATAATTCAAGCCTTCTAATCAAACAAACATCATCAAACTGCTGATTTTCAGACGTCAGAAAATCTGATGTAGAGCAAGTAAACAAGGAAGGAAACCTGAAAGCAAACAGGTTTCAAAACAAAACTTTAGCAAACAAATATTTTCTTACAATGTGTGACCAACTAAATAACATGAAATCACACACAAAAGATGCAAGTTTTTGAATATTATTATTGTTATTATGAGCAAAACTGCAAAACTGTTTCTAAGTCTATATAAATATTCCAAATACCAGAGATATGTTATTTTTAAAAATCAAACAAAAAAAATAAAGGTCTGCTGTAACAGTTCTTATTTTACTGATTATTTTTTGGTTGAATTATTCCCTGGTTGCTCCACATCAGGAAGGATTTTTGATCTTACTTTTTGCATTTTAACAATTGTTATCATGCATAACCATGGCAACAAGGTATCGTTATTTTACAACTTGGACAAGCGAATTAGCATCTAAAGTCTCAAATAACACCTGAATTATCATGACAAATTCCTGAGGGGTTGAAAAGGAGGCTTCAAGGATGCAGAGCAGGACAAACATTTCTTCCATCAATCAATGTTTCTCTGCCCAGCTTCCTACCCACATATTCGGATAGCAAATGAGGTGGATTAGCAGAGATTGCCAACAACTGATCGTGTCATCTGGGACATGTTATAATAGAAATAGTCTCTGCTACATAAAAATTAATCTATTAGGATGTCATGACAGAAATACAGCAACAGCCTTCAATCAGAGGATTCTTCAAATTTGTTGCATGACTGACTGCTACTGGAGGTCCTTCCTTGATGCCCACAGCATCACCATCCACTCTCTTTGAAGATGATAACATTTAATTTTCTTAAATGTATTTTTCAATTTGATTGATTAATATAAATCTAAATAAATAAACTAAGGTAAAAAAATATAGTGATTTATCTAAAACCACAAAAGACTTGAGTGCTCAAAGACAACCTATTTTATGCTAAGCTTATTTAAACTAAAATATCAGTGTTTAGATGTTTATAAAATTAACTGATAACGTGCAAATGCAAATTGTACCGTAATTATAAAATATCCAAGCAAATACTGATGTATTCAAACCAATAAATTCCTATAAATAGTTAAATATGCGTTAGCAAGGCTGAGTCCCCGGGTGGTAAAACCTACCAACGCCTCTGGTCTTTGGCATAATCATATTTACACAGAGGTAGCTTCCAGCGAATGAAACTTTTGGAGAGCGACCCCTATAAAACATCTTAACTCCCGATCAGTGTGATCCAGAGGCTCGACCATTACGCGCTAGCAGAAGGACTTACTGTCACATTACACGTTTATTGAGACAGGTATCAGTTAGCTTTAGCTCCCGAACTGGCCAGCTTCTTGACCTTAGCCTGACAACCAGCAAGAGAAATAAGTCGATCACTTCCAGCATTTAAATAAGCTTAGATTCAAAATAAAACATCACCTCGTTTTATACCATCGTCCGTCGTAATTCCACCTTCATTAAGAGCAGCTCTGACCCTCAAGCTCGCCCGGAAAACACTGTCGTTACACAGAGTCTAGTTGCGGTTAAGTAGCCTCGCATGCTAACGGTGCTGGCTAACATCACGGACTGACGTTACGCAGCCTCTCCGGTTAGATTGCACCAAGCTGTCACAACAACAACACACCTTCAGGATCACCGGGAGCACGCTGGACGTCACGGAGGACAGGCGAGGTGGTCCGGAGGAGCTCATCGATCTTGATCTTCAGTGCAGTAACTCATTAACGACCGTTATTCCAGTTAGGGTTAACGCAGACTGTTTAGATTTTACAGTTCATTAAGGCGACTCCGGCGCTTTGGCGCCACCTAGAGCCTTCCGTACACAAGAAACGGTGCCTTCATTTACATCAGAGGATTTACGCCATTTCACATGTTCACCACTTGAAAGATAGACAGTGTTATGGCACGGGGTATTATTTATGAGATTCAAAGCCATAGTTTTACTGATGGTTGTAATATTTACTTTCAAAGTAAGAAAAGTGATGCTGAAATTGAAAATTGTGACTTTAAATCTTATGACGATGAATGAATATCAAATTTTACGAAAGCTTTAATGCTAAAATTATGACTTGAATCTGATAAATATTACATAGTTTACATCTTTCTTCTTTCAAATGTACCGCTATATGATAAATTACTGTAATTAAAACAAAATTAGCTTCAGTCTTTGATAAATCCCGAGTGTCGATGAATGCACCGTCATCAAATTTAAACGTCCAAAAATGAAGACCTTTCATTGGCCAGTAATTTTAAATACAGCAAAGATTAGCCAATCAGTGACACGCTTGTTGTTCGTCGGTAGCGACCAACGTAGGCAACCGTTTTCCCCCAGAAATTGACTTGTTAGCTATCAGTGCTCAGTTAACGTGCCCTTTTAACTATGAAAATTAATCTACTAGTCACTTATATTATATTATTTTAAGTTTGTTTGGAAATCTGCTTTTGATTCGGTGTATATTTTTCTCGACATGAACCTTGGGTGAGTCTGCTGCTGAACAGCTTGTTAAGCTAAAACACTGAATAGCTAAGGTGTCGCAGTGAAATTGCACAGAAAATAATGCTTATTAATGAATTAATTTCAGAAAATCAAACGAACTTAACCCACTTTGACGATATCTTTTTCTAGACGAGAAGCGAAGTCGAAGATATTCTAAAGAGTAGAAATATTAATTTGATTTCAAGGCACTATCTCAAGTACATATATTTGCTATTTATTAATAAAAAGAAACATACATATTTTTTTCTCACAGTCTGAAGTTAAATCAGACCAAACTGTTCCTGTTTTATGTCTGTTAGTCATTCAGTTCAGAGGAAATAATACCAAATCATTCTGAAAACATTAATAAACACAATTCTGTCTCTCAGTATTGATGCATTAGTAAATATAATAATTTTGTTAATTCTAACTAAAACAAAACAAGAGAAAGACAGGCTGATTTAACTTTACTGTGAGAAATATAAATGTGTATGCCTTTTTATTGAGTGTATGCAAACCTATGGTCTCAACTGTAAAAATAACAAACAAACAATAACAAAATTTATAAGGTGTATATTTATACACATGCCCTTCACTTTGCTCAGTTATTATGTTGCTTCCTGATGCAAAAATAATCTAAATTTGTAAATTTATTAAAAATAAATATTTGAAACATCATCAAAAACAGAATATTTAAAAGTTTAAGTGACTTTTGTGTAAAGATCCAGACCTTTTTTGACAGATTGTTGCTGGCAGTTGGAGACACTGACACTAACATAGTGTGGGCAAAATGTTTTCAGTTGGATATTAAATTACGAGTATCATATTCAGACTCTGTGTATCCATAATGTATTTGAGCCATTAAGTGGCTCAGATACCAAAGCTCTCAGAGCTGCTGAGGTGAGTGGCTGTAAATTAAATTCAGACATACCTTATTAATCTCAGTGGGAAATTTAAATGCAGCTCATATTATCAAAGTTTGCTTTTGGTTGTTGGCAGGACGGTTTTGTTCTAAATGCATTCAGTTTATAGGAAACCAGACAACAATCCTCACCAACAGTGAACTACACATATGCCCTTCACTTTCGTTCTGTGGGACTCTTATAAATTAATTGATCTACCGGTGAAACTCATACAATTTCAAACCATATTTCAAGTGCTCTGAGATATTTGCACTAGAAACTAGACAAAAAAAATGCCTGATAAGATTTTGTGTTTTTACAGTGTAATCCCAGTCATTTTTACCAGAATAAACAAAGGATTAATTATCTCTGAAACTCCTGGTGTACCTCTAAACTAGTATTTTCTCCCTGGGGTGCTTCAATTAAGTTGTAAATAAAGGGTCTTAATTTACAATTTAAATGCAATATTTTTAAAATAAATTATTAAATCCATATACAATTTAGTTTGATTTTGTCATTGTGGGATTCTGAGTGTAGTTTGCTGTGGAAAAATTTGTGAAAGCCAAACAGAAAACCTCATTCTGAATCTATTTTAGGTTTGAAAAATTAAAATTTAAATCAGTGAGTGAATGAAGGGTAGCTGTTAACTTTCATTCATTTTCTTAACACATTTTTCCATTTGTCTCTTTTGATTTTGGTGTTTGTTTTCTTCTCTATTTTGTTCTCTAATGACTGTTATTGTTCCTGAACAGAGATGGTCTACTGTTTGAGCTGGACAATGGAAAACCCAGATTGATTTTACTCACTCATGGTGAGGCTTTCCTACTACCCAACATTTTTGAATAAATTATCTGCTTTGATTACAGAAGATTTTTCTCCAATATACTAACATATCTGTTGTAACAACCATTTCATTGATTTGTCTGCTTGTGATAAAAATTGATGGCTGCAAAATTTTAATAATTAAAAAATGTCTATATTTAATATTAAGTAATAACAATATGTCTAAATTTTATGATATTTTATGATATTTTTTGGTTTATTGTTTGGTTTATTTTTACAGCAGGTGTTGTGAAAAATCCAATAAAGGTAAGAAACAACAGCATCTGTTGTCTTTATGTCCAGCACTGCTTAGACTCTTCTGGAAATGATTCCTTGCTGAAAGGAGAAAAAAAATTTAAATAAATAAATGTGTTAATCTTTAAGGTTTTTGTTTACCTGCGTGGTTTGTGATGCGTTTCCTGCAGCTGCCCAGTAAGCACAGAGCAGCTAGCATCCTGAGTGCCAGGCAGCCGTCCTGCCTGGAGGAGGTTCACCCTGAGGAGCGTCCAGCTCAGCAGGCTGCGCGGGGTGCCAGGGAGGTCAGGTGTAAAGCAGCAGCTTCATCCTGCAGCTCCAGCATCTCCACCACTGATGGCAGAAGCTCCATCCTGAATTCATCCAAAACTCCAGGCCATCACAAAGAGCACTCCAGTAAGCCGTGGCGAAGGTAAGGGAACGGAGCCTAAATGATTAATGTTTGGATCAGTATTGGTACAATTTAAAGGGGACCAATTAGGTTAGTTTTATATTTTTGTATTTCCATTTGGGTCTCAATGTTGCCCAATTAGCAATAAATTCATGTTTTTTGGTGTCTGGAAAATGAGCTGTTTAAAAAAACCTTCAAAATGTAACTTTTCAAATTAGCAGTAAAGCAGCCTGTTACCTAGCAACCCGGCCATAATTCGGCTATCACTCAGCAACCCCAGCTGAGCTCCAGCATGTTTGATCAGCTGTACAATGGCAGCTGGAAAAGACCAGTGTTTTCTTGTTGACTTACCATCCAGAAACCATTTACTGCATTCTTGTTGGTTGTGCAGGAGGCTCCACTTCTGCTTTTCAAAGATGCACAGTTGTATAATTGTTCATCTGTAGGTAGCCATTCTTATGAGTGTAAATAAGAACAAAAATAAGCAATAATTTTTCATGGTGGAACAGTAAAACTACTTTTTAAAGCATACCTTAAATAAAAGTTGGTTGTATAATACATTTGGTATCTCAGGTACTATAATGGTTATCAAAAAAACAACATCAAAAAAAAGATATTTACCTTTTTCAAGCCGCTGTGTAACTGTATGTATCCTCTGAAGGTAAAGACAAACAAACACAAACTCAGCTCTGCTGTCGGATCGCTGGGATCCCCCAGGAGAACGCCTCTGCCTCCAAACGGCGGGGATGGAGTGTCGCAGAATATGCTGAGCAGCGTGGATGCAGGCCTGAAGGACGGAGACCTGAAGGACGGAGACGTGGTGTGTGTGAACGGAGAGCAGCTACAGGAGCGCCTCAGCTCCATCACGGTGTCGACCGGCTGCGCCCAGCGGGGGCCAGAGGAGCAGGCGGCTCAAGGTGGCGCTAGCAAGAAAAACTGCAGGTCTGCTGGAAGCAAAAAGCTGCGTCTTATTATAAACTGTTTAATTTTACTCACTAGGAGGTCAAACATGCACAAACGCTGCCTCTTCTGTGAACCGAGGAGAAGAAAGGCAAATAAAGGAGGATGAGAAAGGAGAAGAAATGAAGGAGGAAGGTGATGATGAATATGACAGGTAAACATTTTTTATAAACTCTAACCGCGGGGGTTCCAGCAACACCACCCATTTGCCACATTGACGCTCTCATGCAGTTCCCGCTCCTATCCACTAGGCGATATACTGACGTGCATCGTCAGCAGCGTTTCCTGACGATGCACAAAAATCTGGTGTAGATCGGCTGATATATTAAGGAGGTAAAGCTGTTGGAGTCAAATTACATTTTAATACTATTGGGGTCAATAGAGGTTAGCAAAGGTCAATCACAACAAGTTTGGTGCAAATCGAATGATGCATGTATGATGTATGAGGCAGCCACGCCCACATGCTTTGATGTATGAAAAATCCTTTGATAACTTTTGACCTTCAATGCTTCAAGGCTGTGATGAATGAGTTTGACACCTGGGTCTAAGAAGTTGTTGGATGAGTTTGCTTAGATTCAAAGTCATTAAAAAAGACTTGGTGGCCGCTGTGATTCAATATGGCCGACTTTCTATTTTAGACCATTAGCTGTTTGGACCATCGCTCCCAGAGACATTTAACGTCCTGTCAAGATGTACATATGTTGGTCAAAGCATGGCTTGGGGGTGATTTATTTATATATATATATATATTTTTTTTTTTTTTTTTCTAGGGTTCACAAGGAATTAGGCCACAAAACAAACAAAATTAGTAAAAATCCCACTAAAAAAATCTGTCCTGCAGCTCCAAATTGTTCTGTTTTTTTTTTTTTTTTTCTTAGGTTGCATCGCTCTTCATTCAGTTGGTTCAAAGAGCGTCGGCCGGACAGCAGAGCCGCCATCGACGCAAAGAAGGCTCAGTGGAAAAGAGAGCTTGGTACGAACGCTTTGCATGTGGCGACAGAGGGAAGGAAAAACTGCCTCTAAACAGGAAGAAAGTCCAGCAATGATAATTTTGTAGAACGAAAATGTTTGTCTGACTTTCAGATGAGCAGGTCGCCCTAAAGCAGCAGCTGCAGCGCTCAGCCCCCAGCAGACTGCAGGTATTTCACCTTCACCTCAACCTTTGATAGACTGTTTATTCTCCAGGTTTCATTTGAATTCTTCTTCATTGTGTGTTGTAAGGATTTATTGGGGATGAGCTTGAAATCTTTGAGGTTGTTTTTTTTAGTTACAAGAATATTGTAAAAATGAATGCAATTTTACGAGAATATTCTAAAATAAAAATCAGACTTTTAATGAAGAAATTTCTGATTTTTATTTATTTTTACCCATTAAAATCAGCCCTACATATTAGTATGAAAACATTTTACTCATTCAATAAGACCCTGATTTAATAGTATTAAAATTAAAATAAATCAGGCCTTTAATTGATAAGAAAAGTTTATTATATCAATGTATTCTAATGTGTTCATTTTAATAAATAAAAAAAAGTTTATCAAAATTTAATGGATAAAATTAATAAATCGCACAGCTCTGCACATCAGTATGACTCATGTGAGTCTGAGTTCTGACTCAGAAATCTCCTCAATCCCTAAATCTTTCTGTTATCACTTAATGGTGTAAAAACATCAAGTAGACCTCGAGGTAAATTAATAAAAAAACAAAATGCATTTGAAATCTACAGTGAGCAGGAGCTTGAAGCAGTTTCCAGGCCTTTCAGCCTGTGTTTTATTGATATGGTTCGGATGTTGCTGTGTTTCAGGGTGAGAAATATGCAGAGAGTGTTTCCTCTGTCGGCCACAGAGAGCAGCCAGCCGCCATCAGGTCCAGCCTCCGACTCGGGGTAAACATCAACTCTGAGCGTAGTTTCAAACATTTCACCTCCAACTGCTGGATCCTTCTGGGTCCTGCTGGATCCTTCTGGGTCCTGCTGGATCCTTCTGGGTCCTGCTGGATCCTTCTGGGTCCTGCTGGATCCCGGTTCTTGAGTCAGGTTGTTTTATTTTTGGCTACTTTTGAGTTAATAATTTTGGCCGGTGTGACGAAACGTTTGGACCCCGCTGCTGCAGGAGGTGACGCCCATGGAGGAAATGCTGATCGTGGAGAGGAAGGAGGAGCAGAGGCGGGTCTGGCTGGAGGAGCTGGACCGCCAGCGGGAGGAGACGGCCGAGCGCCGGAAACAGGAGAAGCTGCAGCGGAGACAGGTAGAGACTCTGGCCTAGTCCAAACACAGCCGGGTCGTTTTACAACAATGACAGACGAGATATTCTCTTCTGTAAAACACTATGCACTGCAAGTCCAAACTCCAGAAAGGAGAATTGTCAAATCTTGGCCGAAGTTTTCCGTATCAATGGTTTTCAGTGATATTAAATGGAGGTTGTTGGAGGATAAAAGGCCAAATTGCATGAAAATCCATTCGGTTTATCTGACATTCGGCCTCTGACCTCACAGTAATGTCGTGTCTGTGCAGACGGAGGACCACGAGCGCTGGGCCGCGCACTTCGACTCGCTCCAGCGCAGAGCGCCAGCCCAACCCGCGGCCCCGGGGCGGCTGAGCGGCTCCGAGCGAGACGACTTGGACCCGTCGTCCTGCTTGTCGCTGGTCTGGGAGGGAACCAGCAGCTGCGGAGCCGACAGCGTCCTGGGAGCCAGCGTGGATTCAACCAGAGGTTTTCCCTCCAGATCCAGGTAGAAAACTGGGAAAATAACAATTTTATTGTTTATTGCAATAATTTATGGGCCAATTTATCGTCCAGCAAAATTTATGGCAGGCCAAAGCAGGATAGATTTTTATCATAAGCAACTTTAAATATGTTTTAAATTGACAAACATATGTAGAGCATCTAAAATAACAATATTTGTTTTATTGTGACAGGTTTACGTATTAACCTGAGAAACCAGTGGTAACTCCAGAGGAGCTGTTAAGCCAACTTTCAGTCACAGTTCAGCTTTTATTGTGAAAAACGAAGGAAGCATTTGTTGCACGGAGGCCTGGACAATAAATTCTCTCAGAAGATACTGCGATAAATAATAATATTGTGTTTTGCAGTAATGTAATGGTAATGGGATAATAATAATGAAAGAATGTAAATCAATAAACTTTAAATTCTAATGAATGTTCAACACTGGAACACATTTTAAATACCCAAAATAAATAAAACAACAAATAAAGTTAGTTATGAAGTGTCTACAAGCAAAATTATGTTTCAAAGACCAGACCGAAGACTTTAAACATCCAGTTTTTGGTAGAAAACTGGACTTTTAACATCCAGTTTTTTATAATGATTTCTAAATAATTAATCATTATTGATAAGCATTTGTCAGCATGACAGACCCATTTCTATTTTAATGTCCAAAATGTGGCGTTGGAAGTTTGAAAACTTGAAAAGTGCTTGAATGTTGCAGTAACAGCTTTAAGCCCCAAACACCAGCAGTAATGAAGCTCTTAGTTTAATCTGGACTCTGTTTTCCCTGCAGCTTCCTGAGGACGATGACGTCGCTGCTGGATCCGGCGCAGATAGAGGAGCGAGAGAGGAGGCGGCTCAAACAGCTGGAGCAGCAGGTATGGCGGCACCAACATGGAGGAAGCCCCGTCTTCAGCGTGCGGCGCTTTGCTGCCTTCACCGTTTTCTTCTGGCCCAGAGAGACATCGAGGCCCAAATGGAGGAGCGCAGGAAGCAGAGAGAGCTGGAGGAGGCGGCGAGGAAACGGGAGGAGGAGAAGGAGGAGTGGAGGGTTGCCATGGAGAGGGAGAAGCTGCAGAAGCAGTACGAGTTGGAGATGCTGAAGAAGAAGGAGAAGGTCAGAGGTCAAAAGATGTTCCACCTTCATTCCTTCAGATTTCACCAAAAGAGAAGAAAAAGAAACTTAAGTTGTGCCTCAACCGGAACTGATGGCAAACAGTGGAGCTAAATCATTATTATCATTGTTGTTAATAATAATAATAAATATTTAACTTCCCTAAGGGATCAATTAACTGTAGATATATTAATCAAAGATGCCTAATAATATAGCAAACAGACAGATTGGAAATAGTAATATAACAAGATTGTTTTGTTTTTGTGTTTTTGTAGAAGTGAGACTGCCACCTTCAGGAGGAAGTTAGCATCACTTAAACCCAATATTTTAATCATTTTTGGGAAAAATTTCCATTAAACTCATAATTATCCATAAGCGCAGAAAGAAATTCATAAAATTGTTGATTTTTACATGAATTTCTGCAAAATCACAAAGCATGCAACAATTGCAGACGCCCCCTGTCTAGTTCCGCCCTGGGCGTCTGCCAATATCAGAGACAATCCATTTCCTTCTCTTCAGGTTTTGGTTGAGCGTCAGAACGATCCGGTCCCTCCGGCGGAGCAGCCAGAGATCGGCGGCGGGTCGGAGGAGAAACCCGGATCCAGAAGTGAGTAAAGCGACCCAAACAACCCGGAACAAACCGGTTCTCTGAGCTAAACAGGTCCGGCAGAACTTCATTTGTTTCAGGAGCGGTTTGCATCTCGAAGTGAAAAGTTCAATAAAAGAAACGTAAAATAAAAATGTAACAAATGTTGTAGTTCTGGTCCAGTCTGACCGAGTCTATCGGACTATCAGGTGTGAAAACCGTCTTAAATCTCCGTGGGTTTAGTTTGGTGAACCTAAACCACGTTGGGCATATATGTGCACAACAAACAGCTAGAAAACGTTTTCTAACGGGGTTTTGTTTGTGCGTGTCATCAGTCACCAGGGAGGCTGAGTGTGTGGGAAACGGCGACCGCGGCTCGTCGTTTAAAGACTCGTCTGTTCAGACGGGTGAGACGCCACAGCTGGACTCCTGCTCTCATTTTTAACATACGATTACAGCTTCTCTCCTCTCCCTGAGCAGAGGACGCTCCTCCTCCTGTTCACACCGCTGACGTCTCCGTCCAGAACCAGAACCGTCCGCCTCCCTGTGGTTCTGCCGAGCCTAACGGCAGGAGCCGTGCGCCGAGAGCGGGAAAGGAGAACATCTGTGTGCCGGCGGGAGAAGACCCATACGCTCCGTTCGCCCGGGCGGAGAAGAGCCAGAGGAGCAAGACGAGGCCGGAGTGGGGAACACAGAGGTCAAAGCAACAGTTACACCAAGACAGCAGCTGCTTTCCTGTCACTAAATATTTCTCTGGATTCTGCGAACGTCAGAAAAACAGTTTTGCAATTTTGGTGATTCCATTAAATGAGAAATTACATTAAAACCACATTTAAATGAGCTTGTTTATGCAAAAAGCCACTATAAATTATGATGTAAACATTTACATGAGATGTTTATGATTCGGCCAATCAGAGGACAGCTTGATAAGAGTACTAATGAGGCCCGGCGAGCTCACAGTGACCCAAGCAAACGGTTCTGTTGTGTCCCTGCTGCGGTTCTCCAGGCCCAGCCGGCGGTTCGTTCCCGCCTCGCAGCGCTACCCGGTCGCCCTGCAGAGGGACCGGCAGGAGAGCCGCCTGAGGAGGCAGGCTGAGCTGCTGGCCCTGCAGAAGACCCGTCCGACCAGAACGGAACCGCCCGCTGCCCAGCAGGAGGCCCGGCTCTGCCCCGACGCCCTGCAGCACGGAACCAGTACCGCTAAGAAGGTGGAGAAGCAGAAAATCCCATTGGACTTGATGAACGATGTTGTTGTTTGCTAATGAGCGCCGATGTTTCAGGTGGAATCGGGTTTGAAGGGAAACGTCGACACGGACCGGTGAGCAGCGCCACATAAACCTGGAACGTCCCGGAGCTTTAAACAGGCCTGGGCAAAAAATTACAAACATATTCTTATTAATTTCATTTTTAGTTTTTGAAGATTGAATGTTTGGAGAATCTGTGTTTTTTCACCAATTTCCCAAGTTTGTAATTTGGACCTGCGGTAGTTCATCTAGAGAGAATGAAGGAGTTTCATCTTAGCAGGACTCAGTTTGTTTAGTAAAACAGTAAAGAGACCAGAGGTGAAATCTGGACTGTGGCATCCTGCAGGGGGCGCTCTCCTCCTGCCCAGAGCCAGCAGGCCTCCGGCTCTCCTCCTCCTCCTGCCCTGGAGTTCATTCCTTACCTCCGGACCGCCGAGGTCTTCAGCCTGGACCCCCTGGAGCCCGCCGACACGCCGCCAGCCAGGACTCACCCCGGTCAGGTTTTAAACTCGCAGCAGCGCTCTGCAGTGGCTCTCACTAACTCCGGCTGAAATTTAAATATTTCTATATTAAGATATTAAGACAAAAAACGCAGGTTTGTAACAATTATTCAGTTTATTCCTGCAATATTTCCACAAAGAATGACACTAAAAGTAGCATATGCCATTTACCCAGAATGCATTGCAATGCAAACACTGCAACATCCAATCCAATGACATTATTTTATGTAAATGTATTAAAACTAAACAGCTTTACTGTATTGTTTTTACATCTAAAATAAATATTTCTTGAAGTTTATTGTTACAACTAGTCGTTGATCCCCTTAAAACCAAAACTGACATTAAAATTGACATTTTAATGCGAAAGACGAACCAGAAATTTATTCATTTTAAGATATCAGTTTTTGATTCACAAGTCTTCAGTGGATTGTATTGTTTTGATATTATTTTATTGTTTTTACTGTAAACTTTTCATTTTAATCAGCTGATGAACATCCTTCTGGTTCTGTGAACTATCAATACCGGACCAGATTGTTTTGGACTGTTTTTGTTTCTGTTCCGATCAAACAATAAAAACAAGGCAAGAAATTCTAGAAAACATAATTAGAAAATAAAATCTTTCCAAAAGCAGATATTTGTCTAAAATGAAGTGTTGTGACATTTGCAGTTTTGTTCGGCTGATGTCATGAAAATGGATCTGCAGGTTGTTTTTCCTGTTCGCCACCAGGGGCAGCTTTCTGCTCAACTGACAGGAACAGATTAAACAGAACAGAACCTTTAAGAAATTAGATTCAAATTATATTAATGAGCATTTTAGTCCTAAGCGTGATTTGCAGCCATCTTTCTCTATAACCTGGGTCGACAGAACCTAACGGCGGGTCAGGAGGTCCAGTTTGTCTGTCTGTGGTGACTTATTACCAATCAGAACCTTGTCTCTCCTGGTCAGGCCCTCGTCCTCCTGAGGCCGCAGCTCCTCCTGGCTCCTCGCATCACGACCCGCTGCTCCACCCAGAGATGCTGCCTGGCTCCCAGCGCCAGCAGGAGATCCTGAGGCCTGGCTCAGCTGCGGCAGGTAACCAGACACACCTGCTGGCTCCCCATGAAGAACAGAACAAAACACACACCGACCACTAAATCCCACAGAAACTCTACAGATGTTGACGGAGAGCTACGCCACACTTTTCAGGTCATTAAAATGAGAAAGGAAATTCTTATAAGATTATAAAAAGGTATGAAATATAAAAATAAACATAAAATGTAATGTGTATAACTAACAACGCATGTAATGTAATTTTAGTGAGATCAGTTTTAGGTGTCAAAGCTTTTTAGATACACTGGGAAACTAAGTCATAATATTAATGTGAAATCAGTTCAGCTTTCTGTCATCAGATGGATCCGATCCGGTCGGTACCTTCCAGACTCCGGTAGTTTGGGCCTCACTGGAACCATCCAGCAGCTTGTTTCCCTCGGATCGGTTCCGCCTGCAGGTGAACCCACTCAGCCAGCCACTGTCTGTTTTTCAGGGTTTATTACAGAAGCAGAAGGAGCTGGAGACGGACCTAAGGCCGTCCGGAACCGCAGTGACAACGAGCAGCGCGCGTAGCTCACCACACGTGACCGGCGGTGGCGTCTGGAAGCTCCGCCTACTGACTTCCTGTTCTACCGGGTCGGGAACCGCCTGCAGATAAACACTAACGGAAACCTGCTCCGGTTTGCTGTGGTTCTTTATGGAGGGAAAAGTTTAAACCAGCGACTCCCTCGGTTATCAACGCTCTACCTCTTTACGGTCGCTGCTAAAAAACGATTTATCTCCCAGTTTCCTGCTGAACGACGAGTTTCTAAATGTTACAGTTTTTATTTATTGTTATTTAAAGTTTGGTTTATTAATAACTGATTAAAGATGTTTTGAAGCTGCAATGTTGACATGACAAAGTCTTGCTGCACTAGGTATGTTGGACTGTTTTAGCATAAAACCGTTTCACCCACCAAAAATCTACAATTACATTCTGACTGGTAGAAATTATGTTACAATAAATTTTGTATGGAAGTTTCAATTCAGAATATCTGCAATAAATTACTGGCTGTGAAACATAAATTACAATTTGTCAAAAATAAATTTCAAATATTTCAAATTTTATCCAGACTAATCATAATGCTAATTATAATTCTCAATATTTCAAATGGGTTTTTTTTAACACAAATAGCGACAAGTTAAAACTGCAATTTACCTTTTCAAAGCCATGTTTATGTCCAAGATGTTTAGAGAAGAGAATAGATAAGAAATCTTAAATTGCTCTTATTCATCTGAATATGAAAGAGCCATCTTGAATTTCCATTTTGTATAATAAAATTTTTCTGGTCAAAATTTATTCTTGGCTGGAGTTCAAGTAACCAGGTGACAGAGTTTGTGAAAACGGCTTGCCGTAACCGCACAGCCTGGGATGCCGGTGTTTTAAACCAGCTGGTTTTTTTATTTTTGCCTCATAGTTTTTTTTTTTTCTGAAGTTCTGAGGAAGAAAAATAGAAAACAACCTGAGAACCAGGAGGAAGAATCTGTGCAGCTGCAAATATGGACATAGTTTAATGTTTGCCTTCTTTCTAGGTGTGAATAAAATCTAAAATGAACTTTGTCCTCTGTTATCAAACAAAGACAATTAAAATAAAATGTTGAATCTTATAATGGTTCACAAGGGAACAACCTGCAATTCCATCCAAGATTCTCTGTTCAGAAAAATGATGAAGAACCAGCAAGAACTGAAATCATCCTGAAATCCAAGTGGATATATATATATATATATATATATGTAAAAATATAAAGTATATATACTATGTGTGTGCTTTTTTATTTTTTGTTTGTGACCACAGACACAAAAATCTCATTTTACTTTATTTTGCAGTAAAATAAAGAATATTTTCTTTCCTTTATTGCAACCAGTTGCAGTTTGTTTCTACAATTCTCAGCAGTGGAGTCTTTATTATAAATATATCTAATAATTACATAAAAAGCAGATTTGACATCCACACAATTTCACTATGAACTGATTTGTTTTTACAATATATATTTGATAATGCATGTAGAAACTATTATTTTATGGATACAAATAAATAATTGCTCTTGGTGTAAAATGTAGTTGATTAAAAATGTGAGGTTTTGGGTAGTTTACTGCGATCAGGTGTGGCTGTGGGGTTTCCTGGATCCCACTGAGCCTTTTCCTCAAATCGTTCATCCTCCAGATGCTTCAACAATTTGAACAGAGGGAAAGGAAAAGGTTTTTCTGTTTTCATGGGATTTTAATACAAAAACCAGATATAGAAAAAAAACTAAACATAAAAACTGACTTAAGTTTAAAACCATTTGTTACAGATTTTCTCTCTTCAGCAACAGAACAGAAACGGCTCCAAACCAAAATTCAGCACAGAAAACGACTTTTTATCCTCTGGGTTACGGAAACCTCTCGTCCTCCTGCGGTCCGAGTTTCCAGAGCAGCTCAGGTCCAAACAGTGGAAACATCTGAGCGCTTCGTTGAAACTTTAGCTTATTTACACGCTGGTAAATATTTACATCTGCTCATTTATTTGCTTAGCGTTTCCTGAAATGATCCGGATTTATTCTGACTCTGTAAACAGTCAAGACTGAAACCTTCAAGTTGTTTACTAAAAATAACAATAATAATAATCTTTATTGTTTGAGTTCAATCCGTTTCTGGATCAACAGATCCAGTTCTCCTCTACATCCTGTTAAAACCCCCGCCGGGCCGGGCGCCTCGGTACGCGCTCCCGCCCGGACCGGCGGGGCCGTAGAACCCGCTCAGGAGGTCCACGCCCGGCTGCTGCAGGCCCCAGACCAGCGGGCTGGCCATGGGAGCCAGCCCACCGGGCCAGAGGGGCGGGGGGCCCATGATGCCCTGCAGGGCCCCCAGCGGGCGCAGGGCTCCCAGTAAAGGTCCGGTGTGGAAATGCTGGCCGTGGAAATGCGGTAGGTGAGGGGCTTGAAGCCGACCGACGCTCCGCTGCGGCGCCGGGCCGAACAGACCCGGACCCGGCTGGTTCTGATCCCGGTACATCAAGACGGGGATCCGGGACTCTGCACCGTTCTGGGGAGCCGCTTCGGCGCCGACGGGCGGCTGCTGGTTGGACTGGGAGGATCTGCAGGAGAAAACAGGAAATTTGATAAATAAAACTTTTTATTGATTTATAGATTAATAACTGGAAAGCAAAAGCTGCTTGATAGATTGTTATAGAATCTGACCAGGTGAAGCTCAAACTGCAATGATTTTATTCTGGGTGAATATTTACAAAAGTATTTTTATCTTAAGTGCAAAATGTTACATTATATGTTTTGCAGTTTTGGCTGAAACTGCTGTTATTCTTTGATCAAATTGACTTTTTGATTCAGAAACTCCAGGTAAGTAATTTATTAAATGAGTTAATCATTTAAAAAATCAATTGATCTGATTAATCGTTCTAGTTAATATGTTTTTTTATTTTGGATATTTAAAATGTCTTCCTGTTCCTGTTTTAACTTTTCAAAATAAATGTATCAATCAGAGGGAAGGAAACCGCCAGCATCTGTCCTGACTTTCACATGTTTAGGTCTGACCTCTGACCTTTCCACTTCATCTTTGTTTCAACTACAGAATCTAACCTTGTGACCCCTGACCCCGTCCGACCTGGACAGGAACCTCTGGCTGACCTGGAAACGTCGCCCTCTTCAGGAGAGCCTGATGATCGGTCGGGTTCTCGTCGCCGCTGCGGTTCCTGGTCGAAGTCCGGCCCGTTTGTGTCAGCTGACCGAGCGGCTGTGCTCTGATTGGACAGTTCTGTGTGGTTCTGGGCCAAGTGTCCCTCTGTGGGAGTGGGCCGCCGTCTGTCCTCCGACCTCTTGTCCTCCGACCTCTTGTCCTCCGACCTCTTGTCCTCCCACGTCTCCAGCTGCAGACCGGAGCGAATCAAGTCCGGGGTCGCCGTCACCGCCGTCCTGCCGGGCGTGAACCGGACCGACTCCGGCGGTGCCGCCCGGTCCGTGGGCGGTGTGACGCGAGCGCCCTCCACAGCAACGGCAGGAAGGGCGACGTCGCTTGACTCCACCTGCAGCTCCAGCAGCTGCTGCTGCAGCCGCAGCTGCTGCAGCTGCTTCAGCCGCTCCGCCCGCATCTCCTTGATGGCCTGCTGCAGCACCTCCATGTCTCTGCTGGTCGCCATGGAAACACGCTCGCGGCGTCCGGAGCCGATTGGTCGGCGGCGGGGGGCCGGGGGGCGGGACGCCGGGCGTCCGGTCGCTGTCGGCAACGGGGTGGAGGCGATCGGCGGCGTTGGACGGAGACTGTTGGCCGAGACCTGAAGACGGAGCAGAACAACGAAGGTCAAACTGAACGGGCCAAATCCGGTCCGGCTCCAGAAAATAAATCAATTAATCACACGATGAAGGAAAACGCGCCAAATAATCTCAATTCTGATGATTTATTGTTTTTTCTTTTCTCTCTTTCCACCATAAACTGGATGGTAAAAGTTTTCAGTTTGGGCTCAATTAGCTCATATTTTGAAGGACAATTTATTTCCATCAAAGTTTGTTATTGTGACAGACCTACAAATAGAGTCCTCTAGATAACAGTTGTGTCTTAAAATATTATTTATCAGTCAAATGGAAGCAGGTTTATTTATCCGTTTACTGCAATGTGATATCAATCAGTCCTTCCACTGTTTTCCAACTCTACGATTTTCTGAGAAATTCATGCAAAATCAACAGATCCTTGCATTTTTTCACACTATAAATAATGATGAGTTTATTGCAAATTGCTGCAAAAAAGATAAAAAAACAATGTGATTATGAGATGATTACTCCAACCTGCAGGTGGCAGTATTTCTTCTACTCTGCTGCTTCCGTCTGGTTTCATGTTTTAGTCAATGATCAATGTGATTTACAGAGCAGAATGTTTTTAAGGACAAAGTATTAATCACACTTTTAGCCAAAAAAGTGTGGCTAAAAGGTCCTTAGGTCCTTAGGTTCCCAAAGGAACCGACCTTTGGGAGCAGGAACCGACCTTTGGGAGCGAGCAGATCCTCCAGGAACAACTGCTTGTCCTTGACGCTGAGACAGCCAACCAACCGGCTGAAGCTGCGCTCGATTTCTTCCATCCCGGCCACGATGATCCCCCCGTTGGAGTAGGCAGGAAACTTATCGAAGGAGTGCTCTGAGTTTAGAAATGAAAATAAAAAAATAACTGACATTTAATACCCGTTCCTGAGGTTTGGAGAAAATCTGGCTTCTGTGAAACTTCCAGAAACCTAAAATCTGACGGTGCTCAGTTACATCTTTGCAAATAATCAAAACATTTCTCAAAATTCTCAAATGTGCTGCTTGGTTAAAGTTTTCTCCACCAAATCGTGAATCATGTTTCTGGGAAGAATATGCACCAACTTGGGATTAAGTCACTCATCCATTCACACGTAACTTATTTTCTTATATTGAATTATATGACACTATTTATCCTATTAAATCAAATTCAAATTATATTTTCCCTTTAAAACTACAACCCTTGAGCACCAATTTAACTTTGAGATGATTTACATGCGTTTGTTTTATTTTGTTACTAGGTTCCCTGT